AATACATGAATTATTTTAAAGAAATTTTCCAATAAAATTTTATAATCTTTTGTATCTCCAATATTTTCTATTGACCAATTATTAATTAATAATTTTTTATGAAAATTTCTTAATAAAACAATTTTTTTCTCGTCTGGATAATTCATATCATCTTCAATACTATCAAGACCACGAAGTACAAGATAAAATATACATACACTATCTTTTAAACATTCAGGAAGCTGTTCAATAACAACTGAAAATGATCGACTTACTTTATTTAATGTTGCATAACAAAAATCAATATCATTTAAACTAATAGCCAATTGATTGAGTTCAATTTTCGATACTTTTTTTATTGTATAAACTATTTTATTTTAAATATTGAAATAGTTTCAGTTGGATGTATTGTGCACAATATTAATTCATTAAATATATTTAACCATTTTTGTTTGAAAGTTCTTTCAGTTAATCAAATTTTTAACTTTATTTTTATTAGAAAATAAAACATCTTTTATATTTCGACAGATTAGATTCTAGTTCTATCTTGAAATATAATAATAATAATAATCAAATTATTCTTCTTACAACAAACAATATTCAAGTTAGAATTCATTCAATACAAGATATATGAACTGTTGTTTTAATATTCTTAGTATAATTTTCTAATCGAATATTCAACTATCACTGTGAAGATGTAAGATCTTATTTGTCGGTTAATGAACGTTACACAGTTCTCAAGAAATTCTCGAGGTTGATTTTATAAGAAATTAACTTATATTTATTTCTCACAGATGATCTGAGACCATTACTTCTTGAACTTTTAGATTCAAACTCGATCGGATCAAGAATCGACTTAAGAAGCTTCAATCTCAGCAATTTTCTTTTGTAGATGAAAATCAGTTTGTAAACGTTTTAAAAGGGCAAGACATTGTCGACAGTGATATGATTTAAGCAAGTGACACAAAATTCATATTTATTTTTCAACTTTGTTCACAAGTTCAAACATTTTCCTATCGCTTTGATCTATTCAAAAATGAAACTTGCTTTCTGCACTAAATCCTGAACTTCTCCCTGATAAGAGAAACGCTAAATCATTGACAGAATAGTTTGTTTAATTCTTTAATTCTATTTCTTAAGTTGTTTATTCTTGTGATCATTTGTAGATGTTACTCAATATTTCGTTTCGTATGTAAAACATATTCTTGAATATTTTGTCCAGCACATTTGTTTTTATCAAAACAAACTCTCTAAAACAACTTTGATTCTGCTGCATTTTCAGTTTTCGTTTTCTTGAGTTAAATTCATCTATCTGTTGATAAGAACGGAGAAAAGAGACAAACAAAAATTACTTCTCATAAACACAGATGATTACAAAGAACAAAGATAAACAACGTGCGTATAAAGAATTCATTTTCATCTAACCCAGTCATTTTTATTGTCTTAACCATCTTTTTCAAAATATCTTATTGCACTTCGCTTCGTTTTCTAAGGTAAGCAGTTAGTGTTATTCTATCAGGATTATATCTTTACATGAGGGTGTCTCTTAGTTCACACATACACCCACACATCCACATCCTGTGTGAGAGTCTATAAATTGTTTTAAGTCACAAAAGTCAAATCTAAATGCATCATTTTGTAAACAATGAAATTCTGCATCAAATGTTACGCCTCCCGATGATTTTTGAAAAGTTTAAAACCCGATATTAAATGCTAAAATCTAATTTTCCTACAACATAAATGTCAAATTCGTGATCAGTATAAAAGACTGCATCTAGTAATACATTCAGATATACTCACGTCGGAAATTTTTTTCTAAAACTTGATCAGTGAAGTGTTGTGTTACGTAGACAAGCCGAATAACTCTCGATAATAGAAAATTCATCAACCCAACGCAACGATCATCGTTTCTTCAAATCGTTTTTAAGCGAGACGATACTAGTTCCTACAGCTCATGAACTTGGACCGCCACACTCCTAATATTGATTAATCATTTTTCAATCTCATCCTCGCAACTCTAACTTATAAAACACTATAGTTCTAGATCACACATTGTCATGTTACAACTAACTGATAACGAAGGAATTCAAAAAGTTCGATTTCGCGATACTGTCGTTCGAATACAAACTGTTCGTCTTTCTGGCATCGAATACTTGCTTCTGGAAGATGTTCAGCGACAATTTCCGTTGGTGACAGCATTGTGCATACGTGATGTGCAGCAACGATTCGTCTCTGATGACAGTGGCAATATTCTGAAACCGATGCGCATCAAAGCGTGCATTGATCAAATTGTTGAAGCGCGTGGACCTGTAGAGCAATCGAATGATGCCCTGCATACTCGCCTTGATCATTTCGATGCGAAAACCGATCTCGTTCTCGTCAATATACAAACGATTATAAATCAAATCAAGTACGTCATGACACAAATGTATGAACTGCATGAGTTTACTACACCTCGCTACTTTTTCATTCTTTCGGCAAAGCACAGCGATTGGACAATACTCAACACGGTGCAAGAGTGGTATCATCTCCATTACAAACTCTATTTTCTATGTGAATGTTCTCATGAGCCAAATAAAATGCATGTAGCTCCACATAATGGCTATTCGATTAAAAACACGAGAGAATTTATTGTCAAGTATGCACCTTATTTACGAATAACATTGAGAATTGCTCAAGTCCTATTCAAACTTGGAAGTTTTATTATTCCACAACTGGAGAATGTATCAGAGACTGTTGATAGCAGTATAGATACGATTTTACTGACACCTGATAAGCAGAAAGAGATAAAAGAACAGCTGAACTTGGTTGAGAAATTACTCGATCGAGTCGATCATGAATGGGCACAGTCAAAGTCCACAATATTCGGACAAAATAAGTCACGTGGAGTGACACTTCAAGGGCTAGATCTGCGTGAAGTTGAAACGTGTCTGGACGTTACCGAAAATAAATGTAGTTTAGGAAACCTGTACCAAACAGTCACTGTGGATGGACATGTGCGTTGGGTGTGCCTAGAGCACTATGACGATGCCAGCTTTAATAACACTATGTCCAAATATATTGACCAGCTGGAAGCCATGGGAGGTAAATTCGATACGAAAACCAGAGAAGCAGTAGTGAGTCCAAAGGATTTGAGTAGCAAGAGTGTCAAAATATTGTGTAAAGCTCTCACCAAAGGTTTCAACGTTTTGACATTGACATTTAAAGAGTGTATACTAAAGGAAAATGATCTTGCCAGGTTGCTTGATGTTGTCATTAATCGCTCTTCGGTTCGGTGTCTTAATATGTTTGCAGTTCATGTTTGTAATCTATTTGGAAATACGAATTTGTATGTCTGCAAGTGCATGACTGCAGAATTCAATAATCAATCTTTCCGAGTTCGTTTCAGCGACAGTTACCAATATGGACATGCGTCAATGCTTATCCAACTCTTGCGACAAAATAAGATACGTCGAACGTTCGATTTCTCCGCTTGTGATTTTCTGGGGCACGAATATTATCTTCAGGGGTGCTTTGAAACGAAAGGAATGGTGACAGGATTGATTGTGGAACATTCTAACAATGTTGATCTCATAAATGCTCTGTTTAATTCTAAAATGAAAACATTATATCAACTAAAACTGTACAATTCGTTGCATGTACCAATGACTAAATTTCGTTTCTGTGAAATGTTGAAAACCAATCAAACACTTGTCGAAATTGATATTATGGATCAGACTGGTTTCGAAGACGAAACTTTCATTGTTAATCTTTTAAATACTTTGAAAGGACACAAATCAATCAAGCATCTCAGTCTGCATGTACGAAATATTCAACCATCGGATCGAAAAGAAGCAAGCCTGATAGGCTCATTAAAAAATGATCAATTTATTTCACGCCTACGTATATCTGAATCTGTCATCACACATGAGCTCATACAGGCATTTATTCAAGCTTCTCAAGAACATCACATCTTGAGACATCTTGAGTTTTATCATACTCAAGTAAACATCGATGATATTCAACAACTGAAATCCTTATATGAGAATCACAGTTTGATGTACCTGAAGATGTCTGAACAGCCATGTTGGCACGCAATGCTGGAAGAGACAAATGAGAAGCTTACAAAAAGTAAGAACTAAGATATGTATTTCATTCATTTCTCGGTAGATACTTAAATTTTATATATGGAGAGTAGATTAAATGGACACCTGCACACCTACATAGTCGTTGATATCCCATAGTAGTCTAACGTGAGTTCTTATTCGATCTCTAGAGACTAGGTGTGCCGATACGGTTTAGCTTTTAAAGCATTGTCATATCTATATCTTATTCTTATGACAGTAGAACGTGTTACAACCAAAATCTCTTTTTTGCTATGAAAAACTTTATTTCAATCCAAGGCATTTTGTGTCAGAGTAAAGAATGTATACATACAACTATTAGTCAAGATTTGTCCAAACATAAGGAAGACAGAGCAGATTACCATTCGAATAGTACTGAAATTCATTTTTTTCAAATATTTATCTACATTTGCTTTTGTTCAACTAAGACTATTGACATGACTGATGATAAACAATACGTATGATATTTTGTACTTCTTTCACATAAAATGTTTGTCGTCCCTGTTTGTAGTTCAAAAAATTTCAAAGTGGACTAAACTGAATCCATCGGAGTATTCATTGTTCCACGATCATTGCTAAAGAGAAGTGTGAAGAGTAAGCCCTACATGCTTGATTTTTGTTCATAATATACATATGGTACTGGTTGTGGAGGCGTTGATCGTCATATTTAAATGAACTCATTTAAGATTAATCCTTAAAAATTAATTCAAAATCAAAAACCTTATATTTAAAAAGTTTAAAATTATGTTTTTGATATTTTAATGATTAAGAAATAAACAATTTCAATTCTTTCTTTCAACTCAAAATAAAAATAAATTATTTATAAACAGAGTGTGAAATGTAGAGAGATTATGTCAAGAGAAAACGTTTTTGTATCATTATAAATAATGTTTACAATTCTTCTCTCATCCATTTTATTCTCTTTTATTGAAATTGATTTCGATGCGAGTTAGATTAATTCTTCATACTTTAAGATCTCACATTTAAAAAATCATCACAACTTTACCTTCATTCTCATTCATGTAAAGACTTGATCTCTCTTTCATTTTTCATTCTTAAAAATCTTTGTTAAAAAAAAATCTCAAAATGTAACAATGGTCGTCTAGAGTTTTTCGTTGAAATATTTATAGAGTTTAGTTTTGTTGATTAGGATTTTATAGAAGAGAAAAACATTTTTTTCATAATAAGTATTGAAATTAGAAAATGTAAAAGAATAAAATATTCTCTTTCAAATATCTTGATTATGTTTGTCTCACTAAAGTTTAATAAAATTCAAATCATTTTTACTTTGTTTCATTTTCATCTACTCAGCATACATTTTTATACAAATTATCATTTTTATTTTTATTGCATTTTAAAATAGCACTTTTTTATTCACATTTATTCAACAATTTCATTCTAATATTTAAAAAAATCTTTCTTCTTTTAGGACAATCAGTTCTTTTCAATCATATTGATATCAATACCAAATGGAAACAACATGGAATTACTATTGCTGGAGGAAATGGACAAGGCAATCAATTAAATCAACTCTTTAACCCTCAAGATATCTATGTTGATGATGATGATCAAACTATTTATATTGCTGATTATGATAATCATCGTATTGTTGAATGGATACATGGAGCAGAATATGGTCAAGTTGTTGCAGGTGGAAATGAAAAAGGAGCTCAAAGTGATCAATTGAGTGGTCCAAGAGATGTGATTGTTGATAAAAACAATAATTTTATTATTATTATTTGTGATTATGGAAACAGACGAGTGGTACAATGGTCTCGTCAAAATAGTAGAAATGGAGAAACAATCATTTCAGACATTGATTGTTCCGGTCTAGCAATGGATAAGAATGGAGATCTTTATGTCTCTGATTGTAAGAAGAATGAAGTAAGACGATGGGGAAAAGGAGAGAAAGAAGGAACAATAGTAGCCGGTGGAAATGGAGAAGGAGAGCATCTCAGTCAATTCCATTCTCCTAGTTATATTTTCGTTGATGAAGACCGTTCAGTTTATGTATCGGATAATAGAAATCATCGTGTAATGAAATGGACGAAAGGTGCAAAAGAAGGGATTGTTGTCGCTGGTGGAAACGGTGAAGGAAATAGTTTGACACAATTGTCTGATCCTCGAGGAGTGATTATCGATCATTTAGGTAATGTTTATGTAGCTGATTGTTACAATGATCGAATAATGCGTTGGTGTGAAGGATCTAAGGAAGGTAGTATTATTGTCGGTGGAAATGGAGAAGGACAACAACCAAATCAGTTCCATTATCCCAAAGGTTTATCATTTGATCTTCAAGGTAATCTCTATGTTGTCGATTGTGGTAATCATCGAATACAAAAATTTGAAATTGATTTGAATTAAATTTATTGAGATTGATAAGGAAATGAATAATTAAATTTTTTATGAATGTATTTTGTTTATTTTGATTTAAAAAATAAATAAATATAAGAATTTGAAAGAGATTGATTGAGAAAGTAAAATAGAAAACGTTGTTGATAAGTAGAATGAGTTAAAAAAGTTTCTTTAAAGATCTGTTGAGACGTAATTTGTTAATGAAAAATTGTTTTCTTCTTTAAACAGATTTTCGTTAATAATTTATTTTTATGATTTGATTTTATACGAGTTTGATTAAATAAGACGAAAGATCTTGAGGGTGTGGGTGGCCCCTGAACAAATCAAATGAATATTCAATTTAAATGTAAAGAATTAATGATTTATCTTTGTAATAAATATTTCTTTGTTAAGAAAAATACTTTTCGTTCTTTTTCTTTTTTTTTGACGGACAAATAGAATAAAATTTTTCTTTCGATTGTAAAATCTAATCTATTGTCAGCAGATACATAAAATTTACATTGTTGTCTCTTATCGTCTAATAGTAACTTATGCATTAGTCTCGATAATCTTAGTTCTATTAATTTAACTTATTCATCCAAGAGCACTATAATTATCGAACTCACTTGATCTTTACATGAATGGTGGTAGTTTGCAAGGATTTCCAACTAAATACATATAAAACAACTACTTGTATTTCTATTTGTTTTCTACAATCGACTCTTCTCTTGAAACTTCACATAACAAATATAAATGTAAACTAATTTCTTTTGTTTCATTAATTTAAGAGATATATAATGAAGTATATCAATACGATTTATACAAAGATCCTACTGACTTTTTGTATGATTTAGAAAAAATGTCAGTTAGTACGCAATGTTTATTTTAAATATGGTTATCTTCTAATTTGTTATGACTTCATTTTATTCTACTTCTTAACCAACAACGGCTATATTATTGTCAAGCATAGCTTTTTGTAATATAGCAATAAACAATTGTTGAGTATCATAGAAATTTAAGACTTCTGTAGGAGCCTAATTCACTATTATGAGACGTATACTCCTTAAAAATATAGATCTATTATCGGTTTCATGCATGCTATATGCTCTATCAAATGACTCTTAGAATTTAAAAAACGTTTCAAAAAAGTACCCAGGGGTAACACTCCCCCCAATGTTTCAAAAATTTCTATTTTTTGCTCAACAAAATCAGCAAATCTTCTTACGTTTTTTACTAAAGATAATACTACACCCCCAATGGTGACTGACTCGCGCCATCCTTGAACATAGGATATCTTTTTTAAATTGACTTTCATAGAAATAAACAACAAACACTTCTACAATTTTGTCTTAAATAAAAGAGTATGCATGGAAACATAAAAGTATTGGGTGGGCCAGATTAAATCTTGAGTGTGTAGGTCTACTTCTTATTTACTTCGCACCCACTCCTCAAGATTACTGAACTTTAGCTGCAATTTTCATGAAGAGACTATATCTATTATTCTCAAAGCTTCGGCTTCGTCTTTCTGATTTTAAGTAAACCATTCTTCGAAAAAGAAAACTTCATATTTGCCCAGCTTTGTACTGAAAATATTACTTCTCTTTAAGGATCATTTCAAACTAAGACTTCACATATACAATCTATGTACGGATTAATCTAGTAGTGGTGAGTAACTCCAAAACATTTAACAGGATCCAATGTATATTTTTCAAAATATTGCAGTACAAAACTCTACTCATCATTATCGAAAGGATCTAAAATTCCAATTGTTCGAAAATTAAATGGATCTAAAGAGTTAGACGTATAGACTCTAAAATCTTCAGAAATTCTAATAGTTAATCAATCTTTTACACATAAAATATTGCATGAGAATTCTTTATTTCGAATAAACAGGCACTGATATGCTGACAACTTGTCACTAACATATTGCAAACGTGCACGTTTCGAAATGTCTTCATCTCACTAATATTTACTAGTACTTCCAAATAAAACGAATACTACAAAAATATTCTCAAATGCGTTTCGGTGAACATAGAAACAGATATTTCTTCCTTTAGATATGATCAACATCAGTTTCTCAATCGCGAAATGCCATTTTTGTTAAAATCCAACGATAAAACATGCGTACTATTTCATAAATTTAGTTTTTCTTTTATTCCTCTGCGTTAAGTAACTCCTACTAGACAGCCACTAGCTATTGATTCAAGTAACATCGCACGAAAAATAACACTTTTGATCGAGTTTTATTTACTACAATACCAACAATCGCCAAAGTTTTGTAGTCACTACTAACTATGGATACAAGAAAAAAACTCTTATTGTTCCAAGATATCACCTATATTTGTTGAATCAATAAAAAAAATTATAAACATTAAAAGTAAAAGCATTCTTGTTTATGGTTGCTACTGCTACTAATGATTTTCATCAAAAAAATATTTTCAGTCCTGTATTTTTTTGGCACATTTTTTCAAGTTGTTTCATTGTATCATGATCGATATGATTCTGAAAAAAGCTGAGCCATGTGAGTGTCTGTGTGAATGATGAAGTAAAGTGGAGAGAAAGAAGAACAAGTACTGGTATTACTTTGTTGATTTCTAGAGCATTGCAAGATATTGTGCTCCTTGATCACCGATTTTATTCCGTCCGATGTCCAGTGCGATGAGTGTCTGTGCGAAAAGTGCGTGAATAATGAAACGAAGGAAAGAGGAAGTGTAATAAGTATTGTTGATACTTTGTTGATTTGTAGAGCATTAGCAAGATATTGTGCTCCTTGATCACGGATTTCATTGGATCCGAGGTTGAGTGTAGTGAGTGTCTGTGTAGAAAGTGTGTGAATAATGAAGTGAAGAGGAAAGTGAAGAAGTATTGTTGTTACTTTGTTAGTTTCCAGAGCATTGGCAATATCCTGTGCTCCTTTAACACCGATTGCGTTACCTTCGAGGTTGAGTGTGGTGAGTGTCTGTGTGGAAAGTGTGTGAATGACGAAGTGGAGTGAAGAGGAAAAGGAACAAGTATGATTGTTACTTTGTTGGTTTGTAAAGCATTGGCAAGATCTTGTGCTCGTTGATCACTGATTTCATTATATCCGAGGTTGAGTATGGTGAGTGTCTGTGTGGAAAATGTGTGACTGATGAAGTGAAGAAGAAAAAGAACAAGTATGATTGTTACTTTGTTGGTTT